AAAACGTTGTAATTTTATCTTAATTTAATTACTAAAAATAATTAATAATTAATAAAGTTATCAATATTTTTTATATAATATATTTAAATTATTTTATAAATAAATATTTTTAAATATTATAACAACAGTCTGTACAATAAAAATATGTGACGTTAACAAATTGAATAGCGGATCATAATCACAACCTAACTCCCTCAGTTGCTTCTTTGATAGTGGTCATTTATTGTAGCTTTAAGCCGTTAGCACTCAGCACGATGGAAAAGTCATGGGGACCGTTGTTGACTCTCTCTTCCATTGGTTCGTGATTCCATCTTTCACTCCGCGCGTACATCAACCTCTCTTTCCTTCAGCAACTAAAGCGCAGACTGTCCTCCTGTCTCTCTCAGACCTTCGTTTACCAAACCCAGTAAACATTTCAACAACACCATCGAACCACCACATCTCCTCAGCTTGGATTAACAGAAACCCACTCACCAAATCCAAGGTTCACTTATTTATTTTTTACATTTATGTTCACCTGTTGTAATTTCATAGTTTCTTCTGGGGACAATTCCTTCTGGTGAATGTCATGTCTATTGCTGTTGCTTAGAATAATCACAATAATATCAGTAATTCCATAGATTAGTTTGTTGACCTCTCCCTTTCTGGTATCTAATATTGGGTTGTTTGGTAATTCATCATGCATCACATGTTTGACTCCACTTGAAGCAACTCTTTCTGATGGGTTGAGGAGAAAAGTTTTTTTTTTTTTTTTGTCATTTTCCCGCATCAGTTTTCAATTTCAGCTTGTAAAGATACTTGCTTTGTTGTAGAACTGGAGTGGGGTTTCTTTTTCATTCCTCCTCTTGTGAAATGGGATTTTGGGTCTTTAATATGTTAACCAAGAAAGATTTGGGTTTGTTGTGGATTTCAAAAAGGAGGGGATTGGGGTTGTTTGTGTTTAGGCTCCTGCTTGGGTTATGGTTGTCTCTTGTGCTTCTGAAGCCCGTTTCGGGATTGCGACCAATCAGAGAGAGGGCTCAGACATGGGGTGACGAGGTTGGTACTCTGAATTTCAATACTCCTTTCTTCTTGGTGGTTAATTCTGGTCTAATATGATGTCTTCCATTGTGCTTGATGAGAAGGTTTGATAGAGTTGTGAAAATTTTCCTTTTAAACATGTATTTTTAATTGGATATTATGTTCTGATCATATCAAGCTTGAGATTTTCTTTTAGGAGTTAACTAATGGCTATATAGTTGCTTTCTATTATCTTTGTATTGTGGTTTCATGAGTTTTAAGTTTTTTTAAAGTTTTTAACTAGTTGAAGCATGGGGAACCGTACAACATAGGTCATATGCCATATTTTTCAAATGAAAAGTTGCAAAATAGGAGTCCAATTGTGAAAAAGACAATGCCATACTGTTGATCTTCATAAAGAGAAGGGCTGAGGATCTGTAGTCAAACAATTAAAAATATGAAGTAGATTATGTTGCTAGGTGGATATTGCCAGTAGAGGGTTGAATGAAGTTAAGGGTAGATATGCCCTTGACTTACTAAATTAACTTTTGATTTTTATGCTGGGAAATTGTTAGGAAAAATAAATAAATGAAGAATGTGAATTATAATGATGAATAGTTGTTTTACATTCAAAAGACATAATTACACCTTGGTTACCATTTTCAGTATACCATTGGAAGAAAGATATCCTGGCTGGACTGCTAGACCTCCTTCTCTTTTGTTATTTTAATTCATGTATAAGTTGTGAACATTTCCTTCATATTTGCTTTATTATTCTATAAATTCATCCTTTTATTCAGTTTTTGCCTAATTGTTGGTCAAGGATTTAGTTTGTTAAATGAATGGAGCAAACAATTATGATTTATCTTGTAACTCATGTTACCAAATATAGTAACTCTTTCTAAATCTGCAAAGATTTGGTTTTTTGTTGTCATTTTCCCTTTTTAATCTCTTTAATCCTCTATGCTCTTCCTATGGATAGCAGAAGTTATGGTAACATAGGGAAACAGGGTTTTTTTTTTGCCCCTCCCCTGAGTAGTAGTAGTACGAAAACAAAAAGAAACAGAGTTCTATTAATACCAAAAGAAAAGTACACATTCCGTTCTATTGTCATTGTGGCATTAAAATCTATTTCTTCACATTTTCTTTTGCTGTTTCATTGCAAGTAGATTCAGTGTTTTCTGAACAAAGTTTGATTTCTGAGTCCTGAATATGGTTGAACCTCATTTTATGTCTTTTCTCTTTTTAACAATGCCTCTTGCAGTGGCTATTCGTCAGAAAAGATGGAAAGGAGTTAGGTCCTTTTTCTGCATGGAACATAACAGGCACATATCGAGGTCTGCAACTCATTTTCTTGAATTTAGTCATCCGTATATTACTGCTATTATAAACAAACTTATGTTACGAAGTTTCTTTTCTGATTATATGGTATTTACTTGAATGTCATACTACAGTTAACTTATACCCTTTTTTTAAAAGCTTTGACTTTGTTGATCAATTCCATGTCATTATTCTCTTCCCCTTGATTAGTATTTTTCTGCTTCTGCCTAATATTGAGCAATAAAATTCCTTGGACAATCTTAGTAAGATAGCTTTGATCAATGCCCACCAGCATTTTAAATAGGATCTGCAATTTACGAGTTCTGGAAGTTAAGCAGAGTTCTGATGGTTACTAGAACATGCACAGAAAGTTGGTTTTATTTAAGTGCTGCTTTACATGAAAAAATATGAATATAGTGTTTGACTAGATTAAGTGGTTAAATGGCATTGAAGACATGCATTTCCAAGATTACAAATATATTGGGTAAACTTCAGGCAAGCAAAATATTGGGTGAGCTGAATAGATTATAAATTCAATCATCCAGTTAGTCAACTATTTAATGGGGTTGATTTATGGAAGCTGGAAGGGCTAGGACATGCTCAGAAAGTTGTTTTTAATTTAAGTGAAACATTAGATGAAGATATATGATAAAATATTTGCTTGACAAGATTAACTGGTTAATTGTCTTTTTAGTCATGCTTGTCCAAGGTTATAAATTTACTTTTTAGTCAGCTGAATAGATTACAAAGTCAACCTTCCAGCCTGGATTGATAATTCTTTACTGATCTAACAGTATGAATCATATTTGGGAATTGCAGGGACATGGAAATTTCTTGATGCTACAAATAGCTCTTCCAGATTTCCAGATTTTAGGAAATCCAATGGCAATTCTGTCATCGAATTATTTAGTACACCTACAAAAATAACTGGCGTGCATTATGTTCGGGTGAGAGGTTTGAGCCCTTTTTCATGATGGTCTTCTATAGTAGATATGACAACATCATAGTTAAAATGCCATGTCTCAGTTCATACAATGAATTATTGGTATAAACAAACTCAAGGAAGTGAATTGTAGATCTTCTTATGAAGTAAGCTTGCGTTTTGCTTAAAGAGGAGATCTGGATGCTTACAAGAGGAAGTTTAGCTCCTGTTTTTTAGAGACTTATATGGAGTTTTTCATTTATTTTTTCCCCTTCCTCATATTTGTTTCTGTTCCTTGTGTTTATTTTATTCTTCAACAATAAGAATTATTCCTCTTTTTCAAGAGTATGGCTGCACTGATCTGTATGGAGCTTTTCATGATATATATGACTTTTCTCTGGAGTTTTCTTCAAAGAGCCAATGTTGTTGAAAGGCCAAAAATGTTTGTAAAAACTAAAGTTAAGTTAACTCCTCAGATGCAACCGAGGTCAGTGCTAATGTGCTTCTTCTATCAGTTCTACACTTGGAAGGACCATAATTTACTAGTTTAATACTTCCGAACAGTGGTTTCTTCCTTTCTTTATCTTGTTGTGGAACTTGTTGAGAATTTGTCAAACCAATCATGTTCTGTATCCTTTGTCTTTACTCAATTGCTTTTAGCTTCACTATGACATTATAGATTCATCTACTCTGAAATTTTGTGGCATGGGTTGTGCATATGCATATTTCTTGCACCAGCTTATCCCTTTAGTAATAAACTGGGGAGTTGATCAACCACGTGCATGTCAAATCTTGGGTATTTGTGATTGTTTATTATTGAAGAAGGGGGCCTGTGACAAAGTTGAAACCCTAGATATAAAGTGTTAGTGGGTAGATGTTTTAGAATTCTTGGACATTCAAGGCAAATTTTATCCTTTCTCCTCTTCTTGCTGAGCTGGTTGCATAACTGGAGATATAAGCTGTAGCCAAATATAATAGCTTACTCTCCTTTGTGCACATATCATTGTTGTTTTATGCATGTGATGGTATTAAATATCTAAAATCTGAAACACAAATATCAACATTTGCAGCTCAAAATGTGATTCTGTTAAAATTTGTTTCTCTTTAGACTGACAAACATGTGTTTGATGGTTTCCATATCTGATTCTTCATGGTTAGCACAGCTTCTTAGCTGATTATTATTTCTTTGTGTCGAACAGGGTGTTATTATTTTCCACGATGTGTTTGATAACGAACACAATGTTGGTGGCACTCAAATCCGGGTAGAAGGTGTGTATATATGGCCTTTTAGACAGCTTCGAATGGTAGCTAGCAGGTAAACCTTTGGGATTGCTAAAAGCTTGTTGCTTGTGTAAAGTTCTTCCAGGTGCAGTTTACCTGTTCAATCTATAATCTTCTTCTCTTGATTAGATAATAAATTTTTTTGGTAAGTAGTTTAGATAATAGACAATGCATATAAAGGCCCGTTCTTCTTCTTCTTCTTAATAACTTAATTATTTTTTTATCGGTGAACTTCTTCTTCTTCCTTTGGGATTGCTAAAAGCTTGTTGCTTGTGTAAAGTTCTTCCAGGTGCAGTTGTAGCTGTTCAATCTATAATCTTCTTCTCTTGATTAGATAATAAATTTTTTTGGTAAGTAGTTTAGATAATGGACAATGCATATAAACGCCTGTTCTTCTTCTTCTTCTTCTTCTTAATAACTTAATTATTTTTTTATTGGTGAAATTAAGATTTATTATAGAGGAGTACCAGCGGTACTTCATTGGGTATACAACACCATACTCACTTCAACATTCTTCTTCTTCTTCGTCTTTTTTTATCGGTGAAATTACGTTTTATTATAGGGGAGTACCAGCGGTATTTCATTGGGTATACAACATCATACTCACTTCAACATTCTTCTTCTTCTTCTTCTTCTTCTTCTTCTTAATAACTTAATTATTTTTTTATCGGTGAAATTAAGTTTTATTATAGGGGAGTACCAGCAGTACTTCATTGGGTATACAACACCATACTCGCTTCAACATAACTGAGATCAATGGCAAACATGAACCTCTAAATTCACAATTTTCACTAGCACAACACTTTCTTGAAATTTGCTCTGCACATAAGGTTGGAAACTGGCACTAACTAACCAAGTCAGAAGATAATGCTGGAGTTTTTCATCTAAGCCAGGCATATGATCTCACTTGCACCATCTCAAAGATTCTGCTACCATCCCACATCCCATTTTTAAATAAAATTTCATTTCTCGTAAGCCAAATTGATCAAAGGGTGGCTAGGAGTACTGCAGCTTAGGATCACTGCACCAAAGGGCAAAATTCATGCACAAACGCTCCAGACCTCCAGGACAAACAGCTATGATGTCCCACCAACCAAACTGCATCCAGATTTCATTAGCCTTCCTACATTTTACAAACAAATGGGCAGAATTTTTCTCTTGGCACCCACAAAGGACACACATCATTTTATTTGAGTCCAATGCTACACCTCTCTTCACTAGATTATCTTTAGTTGGCAATCTGTTGAATGACTTAATTAATTAAATCTGCATGATATATCTATATGGATGTTTGTTCTAGCGACTCAACTGTTATGGCTATTGCTGTATAGTTTGTCAGGCATGATATATGTGTTATAAACAACTCATTAAAAGCTTTATTCTGACTGAACTAAAAGATTGCTCAACTAGAGTTCTCTTTATTCAAAAGCATTGTTTACAGTTTAGGAAGTCTAAAACTGCTCTAAAAATTATGCTGTGGACTCTAAAAGGAATGTCATGTGTGAAAAATGATCTTGATCATAAAACAAATGCACAAATCATATATGAAAAAGGGAAAAAAAGATATAATAATTGGTTGGATATAAATTTGGTGCATATGTTCTTTGTCACTCGTTATAGTGATTTATTTTCTGTATATGGTCTGCTTCGTGCATTTTTCAACTCTAATATCCATTTTCATGCACTATTGCAGTGGAAAAGAAGGAGAATCGAGTCAGGAGGAAGATTATATTTTATCTAACCCATATCATTTGGTAATACTTCCTATGACACTTGTTTATGTGGGTTATTGCCATTTTATGTGTTGGTTCTTTTAGTATAAAATACTTTGAGATGGATTCTGACTACATAGCTTTATTAATTTTTTTGGTGAGTTGTCTTGTTAGTTGAATTATTATTTCTTTTACTTAAATGTTAAACCAAGTTTTTTTTTTTTTTTTCCCTGCAAATTTATTAAACCAACTTGATACCCAATTAAAGAAGTTACTTGCCTTTTCTACTTATACATCTGGTTGTTTTTGGTTTTCTATAGCAAGAATTATTGAATCTGTCTTCCAAAATCATTGGCTTCTTTTTGAGCTCTGAATTTTCTAAGCAGGATCTAGTTGGATATTTGTAAGACTTGGGAGCATTCTTTATTGGTAGTGCTTTAAATATTGGTCTGATGGATTATACAATCAGGTTAAATGAATTATCTATGTATATAAAAAGGATAAATGTTATAGAAAACTTTGCTGATTGTGGTTACTAACTTGCAATGCTGTTGTTGGTTGACTAGCTTGGAGTTTTCTCATCTCAAGTCTTCCAGGGATCTCCACAAGAAAAAAACTGGAGAAGGAAGAACTGTAATTCCATCAAATTCATTATTTTGACTTTATTTGAAGTTACTGTTACATTAGGGTGAGTTTTTATCTTTTGTTACTGCAGCACCAATTTATGAGGTAGAGAAACATTGCAATATTGAAGTTGCAGCCCAATTTTCACGCTTTTCATCTCTCCAAAATGGTAATTGAATTATCTCAGCCTCCGAATTCATTCATTATCCCCTTTCCATTCCTGGTTCCGTGCACCCCACATTGAACTGCAGACCAACTTCTTAATAGGGATTGTGGTTCATTTCATTGAAATATTGGATTGCTTGATAGTTGGTTCTAGCCACCTAATACAAAAGACTAGCTAAGGTACATACCATGTTCCATAACCCATATTTATGGGGGCAACCAAGGTGAACCACATTCGTGGCAACCATGCTGCACACAACACCTGTATCTTTTACATAAATGGATCAGTTTACACAATAGTTAAGAAAGCACCATATTCTAGAGATGAACTGTTAAGTTTTTGGGCGTAACTAAGTTGTGCTTCTGTTGAAGGACATAAAAATACCAGTTCAATTGTGACTTCCTGGAACTACTTCCCCAAGGTTAAGTTAGGTTGAAAGTTCAGTATTATTTGCTCCCAGGATAGAACTTTTAATTTTGAGCAGAAAACTCAATTAGGAAAGAAACCTCAACCTGTTTATTAAATTATTATAAATTGCATGACATTAAATATTAGGATTACTTGGTTCTTGTACTTATTTTTGTTTTGTAGATGGAGATCATGATCGTTACCACATTGAGGGATTAATGGAGAGCCCTGCACTCGATGATGATGGGAATTGCTTCCCACCTTTGTTTTTGAATGCTACTTCTGTGAACATTGAAGTCTACTATAACAAAGCAGTGAACTATACCTTAATGGTTACCTTTGTATCCTCTAAGCATCTTTGCTCATTTAATGTTGATAAAATGTTTTTAGCTTGTTTTTGTGGATTCCTTAATGGTTATGAATCAGGTCTCTTTCCTTCAAGTTCTTCTGTTAATTCGACAAATGGAACATAGCAACACCCAGTCAGTAAGTGTTTTAGGTTGCATATCTGTTTCTATTAAGGTATTCAGCAAAATAGTGTGGTTTGAAGGTTAACAAGTAGAGATGTAAGATTGTAACGAACTTAATATTTGGAAAAATTACATTAACCAACAATTTTAGTGTTTTACAATTTCATAAAAGCAATCATGATTCTTATATATCAGGGGGCTGCCAAAGTTTCAATTTTACTGGTTGGACAACAGGCTATCATGGATGCTTATCTTTGCCTCTTACATCTCACTGCAGGAATACTAGTTGGTAAGTTCATTATCTGATTTCTTTCAGCTTACTGGTATGCGCTTTATCTAGTGTCTTAAACAATTTCAGATGATGGTCTAGTTTGGTATTTTTTTGTTAGAACACCCCTGTGATCATGTTTCTTAACTATGAAGACTTTTTGTTCTTGGCAAAGAAAAAAAAAAACCTATGAAGACTTGCTTTTTTATCAACCTCTTAACCATGAATACTCCATTGTAGTTGCAGACACAGTACAAGTTTATATTAGGATTGTTGTAAACTTAAACCTCCAAGGTAACAGGAGATGTGCTTTTTTTTTGCTTTTCTTCTTCTTTCCAGACCTCGAAATTGGTAAATTGCATTTGCTTGCAAAATTGTAAACTTTGAAGTTGATGATTTTCTTTTTCTGAATCTCTAGTCTTCATGCTGTCAGAATCATTATATTCAAAAACAAGCAATTTCATGCCTGATACTGTTAGGATAGAATGTTATGGTTGTGGTTAAATTATGCCAGTACAAACATTTTCAATACGCGAGAGTGTAGCAAATTGTTGAATACTCCTCCCTTGGTGCGCACAGAACTGAAGTGGTAAACACTCTGGTTGTAGCTTGGTATGCATGTTTTGACTGATTTGTTGTGTTATACTGATCTTCTTTATGGTGTAATGTACAAGCATATGACATTAACACCTGCTTCATGAGAACTTTTTTTTTTTTATTCCCTCTGGTTATTTCTCCTTTTATGGAAGTATTGTAGAAATCTATCTCCAGTGAGTTCATAGTTGCACTTCCTTTTCTGATTCATTATTCTCATAAAGGGAATCTCTCCTTGTAAAGAAGTCATTCTATAGTTGTCTACTAAGCCAACTTTACTTGTTTGCCAACAGAATCCTTATTTAATGCTTTTGCAACTGCGGCATTCTTCAAGTTTGTAGTCTTCTCCATTTTTGAGATGAGATATCTTCTTGCTATATGGAAGGCAAGTAGGACCACAAATAATGGTGAAGGTTGGGAAACAATGAGGCGGGAGCTATCTGTTTTATATAGCCGTTTCTGTAAGTTTTAATTAATTCTTACCCTTGACCTTGTTTTGTTTATGGAGACAAATTGAGACAAATTTTAGATTGTAAATTCTTTTAGGTCAAGCTGTGAGACAAATTTTATCTAACTACTGAAACTCTTTGCAGATGGAATCCTTCTAGGAGGCATTCTGGTCATGTATGAGTTTCATTATTTCCTGCGACCAATGCTTCTCCTTATGTACTCCTTTTGGATACCTCAAATTATAACCAATGTTATTCGTGATTCAAGAAAACCTTTGCATCCTCATTATATCTTGGGCATGGCTATTACTCGGCTAGCAATCCCATTATATATATTTGGGTGCCCTCACAATTTCATGCGCATTGAGCCTGATAAGAGCTGGTGTATCTGTTTGGCCGTTTTCACTGGATTCCAAGCTTCAATTCTTCTTCTTCAACACTATCTTGGGTCCAGATGGTTCATTCCTCATCAGGTTGGATGCACTTTTGGCAGTTTCCTTTAAATGCATAATTTTTTTCATTTCTCTCTTCCTCTTTTGGTTGGGTGGTTATTAACCTCTTGACATGCCCACGTGCACATGCATTCACACCTGTGACCACTGTAAGGTCAAGTTCGTACTTTGGCTGAAAATGCCTTGAGGAAAGTTTCTGACCAAGGGTTAGTAAACATTGGATTCATTTTGGTTGAATATAACTAATACCTGCTATTTTGTGACCCTCTTTTTCACTAACAAATTCATCTTCAAATGCCTGGATCATAATAAATGAATCTCTGATATGTGTAACTCATATGCTTTGAAACTTTCCATCTCCAGGATCTATTTACAACCTTATCTTGCTTGCTTGCGACCTAGTATTTTTTTTTTTGACAGACACAAACAGTCAATGGCAATTGCACTTCTCCCTGCATTTTACTTTATATGGAGGCACAAATTAAACATTTCTGAGAGTGCACATTACGAATTTATGATACTTAGCACTATCTGGAGTTAGAATGCGGTTATCCTTCATGTACATGGAAAAAAGGTTAAATCCTCATTTTGGTCCCTCTACTTTGGTAAAAAGCTCCTTTTTAGTCCCTCTACTTAAAAAGCCCCTTTTTGGTCCCAAAAGTTTGATATCTGGCCCCTTTTTAGTTCCTCCGTTAAGTTTTGCATACATGGCAAGTTAAATGACAGAAATTTCAAAGTAGAGGGACCAAAAAGGGGCTAAAAATGAGCTAAAAATAGCCCCGATTTGGTCCTCTAGTTTGGAAAAAAGCCCCTTTTTGGTCCCTCTTCTCTCAAATTTCCGTCATCTAACGTCAAAATTTAATGGAGAGACTAAAAAGGGTCGGATTTTTAATTTTAGAGATCGAAAAGGGGTTTTTTTAAGTAGAGGGACTAAAAAAGGGTTATTTGCCAAAGTAGAGGGACCAAATTGGGGTTTTAACCAAAATAATTTTGGGAGCCTTATGTTTTCTACCTGAAGTGTGTAACGTCTTAACTCTTTGTATCCATCAGTGCTACTGTGCTAGACTGCTAGGTAATCCGCTTGTAGCCCTACTAATTTTGTGGGTTTTCACCCGTCCTTACATCATCCTTGTTTGTAACCGAAATGCACATCTAGTATTGCCCTGCCAGACATTTTTTACTGAAAGTTTTGTATGTGATTTGATATGTTATGTTAACCTATTGCTTGCAACCATTTTAACAGAAATCTCACTTCTACTTTATGGTTTGCAGATCCTACCAGAGAAATATAGCTATTTTAGAAGGTTCAATCATCAAGATATGAATCATGCAACAGATTGTGTCATTTGCATGACTTCCATTGATCTCACACGCAGTTCAAATGACTGCATGGTATGCTTCTGGAATGTTATTTTCTTGTTTTTGTCGTTACAGTCATTTTTTTACCGGCGAACTTGAAGTAATTCTCAGATGTCTTCAGGTAACACCATGCGATCACTTCTTTCATTCTGGTTGTTTGCAAAGGTGGATGGATATAAAAATGGAATGTCCAACTTGCCGGCGTCCATTGCCACCAGCTTAAAGAAAATTTTTTGCTAATTTGTCCATACAACACAGGAGCCCCTCAGAAGACCTAACTCGTCCATACGGTAATCACTTGATACGAACACTGAAATTCGATTGTTGTTACCTTACCTCATTCATATAATAGCATCAGGGTTTTTGCTTTTCTCCATGAAGAATTGTAGTTTTACATTCCTCATATAATTTCAACAAACGGATCTCATCATACTTAAAATTGGCTTCTGTATTGGACCCTCAGAAATGCCTTCCAGGGTATTGCACGTTCCCAAGAAATGGGAATGGCCAAACACTGGCAGCCTTTTCTGGGAATTTGCCACAACCAAACAGACCCTTAATTGTGTTCTTCCAAGTTTCCATTGATTTCCTTTTCTTTTAAATTTTCTTCAATGCTTGTATTTCTATTTCAGGTTGAGAAAAGACCCACAAGAAACCATATTTTCTGGGGTCCATCTACAGACTGAGATAGAGCATAACCAAAATTGAAACTCACTGACACTGAAGCAATTTCTAGGAAACAATTTCTTGCATTAATAAATTGTATGATGTGTAAATTTAATATGTAGTTGCTTCAATATAGGAGCAATTTTTCATTTAAAGATAACTTAGGGCTGGTAGGTGGAGCTCATAAGGGTGAATTTGGTTAAAAGCTTAATTTTATTAAGAAAGTTTTTACGGAAAAAGTGATTAAGAAAGTACCTTATAAAAAGTTAGGTTTTATTATGAAATTTTACTAGAATGGTGTTAAGTTGTTAATTTTGTTGTATTTGGTAATAAATTGATAGGCGGGGAGTTATTAAATGAGTTCAACATAAAGAATTAAAAGGATAAAAAGAAAATTTTATGAGTTGAAAATTATATCAAGAAAAATAATTATTAAAAATATCGTTATTATTTTTTATTTACTATAATTTTAAGGTATATAAAATTATAAATATTAAAATATCTTTATAAAATCTTGAAATGAGGTGTTTCTTGAGAAAGCAAACTAAACTTCTCTAAGTTTACTCATAGGTAAGCATACTTCTAGGCAATTTGTTTTCTGCCGTTAAAGCGAGTCGTAACTTCTGCAGAAGTGACGCGTGTCAAGATAAAAACTTACATGAGTTCGGTTACTCTCTGTTCTCTTGATTAATAATGTTAGGTGTTATTGGAAGTTGTAATTATTTAGGTTTCTCTCGCATTCTCGTGTATTTTAAAAATTATAAAAATTTTATTTTATTAATAATTTATTAATTTAAATAAAAAATTTTAATTTTTTTAATAATGATTTCAAGTTTAAATATTGTGAATGAAAGATATTACTTAATTCTAAGTTCTTTAGATTTTAAGTCCTAGGGACAAAAATTTAGTATTTTTTTTTCAAAAATGAAAAATTATAAGAAAATGAGAGATTTTTTTAGGTAATTAGTGGGAGTCAAAATTTTAATTAATTAAATTTAAGTATTAAGGTCTAACGATAAATCATTGGCTCAAAGGTTTGGTTCAAATACAAGAGTTCAATATTTTTTTTTGAACAAATTCGCAAGTGGTTGGATTCGAACTGTTACCCTATGTAATTGCACCAAATTAGAAGTCCTTCTTCAGTCCGTGCTTCCACTCCGAGATGACCTGTAAAGCCTCGAGGTGGAACTCGGGGTAGACACTCCGATGCTTAAGTCAGCAATAATCAGGCTACCTTTAGGGCGGAGATAAAAAGAGCTTAGGGTTGGTTTCAATTACCTTTCTGAGGTGGCCCTTGGGGGTATTTATAGGCCTTTGTGAGGTATCCACGTGGCTTGTTTAGCAGGACAATCAGAGCCTGACGTGTCTATCCAGACGATTATTTCGGGACCGGGAATTTGAGAGGTATTCAGATGCACGGATGTCCACCATACTTATTGTGCCACTTGTCATAAGGAATCAAGTGTGGGCATGCTTATTGTCATTATCATGCAGCTATTTGAGCAAGGAGCTTTGTATTCATTTCTCATTTTGGTCATAAAGGAATTACTGTAGCAGTCCGAGGCTTGGCACCTCGGACCTGTCCTTACATTATTCCCCCCCCAAAGTCATTCACTTGTGAATGATGTTGCTAGGGATGATGAGAGGAGTGCATGAACAAAGGAATTACGGATAAGTCATGGAAGTATAAGGAAGAAAGCTGTAATTTAAATTTAGACATAGTCGTAGCTAATAATGAAATACATAACAGTGGGTCATACTGGGGTGCCTTAAATGGAATATGAC